GTTGTTGATTAAGAAATATAACAAAAGGAAATCACATAATTATGTTAATAATAAGATTACCAGCAATAAAAAGCTTAATCTTAAGAATAAAAGTAATTTTAGTAAAAATAAAATTAATTTCTTACAACATCACTATCATATATGACATTAGTACTTTAAAATGAATAATCTGAATAATCCAAATAATAATATTAAAATTTAAATTTAACATAACCTTAATAGTAATCATAACAAAAATAACAATAATTGCTTAAAACTTCACCATCATATATGACATCAGCATTTTCAAATGTATAAACCTAACAATGCAAAATAGAAGAAATTTAATAGAACTAAAATCTTTTATAATAGTAACAACTTTAAAATCGACAAATGTCATAAACTTTATAGAATTTGGAAGAAAAATTATCAAATGAATAACAATAATAAAAGCTATCCTAATATTATTTACAGTTAGATCAAATTAATAAATAATAATAAATGATATCTGAAACAACAAAATTCAATAATATAAGTTAAAATCATGATAATAACATTTAAATAGAAATTCTTCCTTTATTTAACCAAAACAATATAAATAATTAAATAATTGTAAACTCAAAAAATAATGAGGTTTTGAGTTATTAACAATATAGATTAAAATATTATAACATTTATAAATAACAATACCCATGGATGGGATTATCTGCGTTAACTAAAGAAATAGAAAAATAATGGAAAGTAAACTAATAAAATTAAAAACGTAATAATGGTGCAACTCAACTGAATGTTGGGTCCACATATAATGAAAAAGGACCTGATTAAGTATATGATAAGAAAATTACGAATAAATGATTATCATTATATGTTGGGTTAAATAATAATAATAATAAAAAGCTTTCATGCCCTTAAAATAACTTATATATATATATATACCTTATTCTAAGTTAAAAATAATTTTACTAAATCTTTATTATAATTTTCAACATTTAAATTATTTATGAGAAGATTCAATACTTCTTAAGGTTATAAAAGATCAATATAAATGACCTAAATAATAATTTAAATTACCAAATTGATGCTGCTATAAATGAAATTATACTGTCTTCGACACCAAAACAAGGTATACAAATCTGCATCTTATTAATTTTAAAATATTTTCCTTCTCCTCTTATATTATATATATTACAATTCTCCACAAAATGCTCCTATATGTCCTAAATCACAGAATTAATTTCCCTATCCCAACCCTCTTTTACAAAACCTTATTATTTTCAGTTATGTTTTTAAATTTTGTTTTATCAAATATTGAACACTTTCTTAACTTGATGAACAAATTTAATATCCAGAATTTACATAAAATTTAAAAAGTTAACATTTAAATCTTTTTGCTTACATAACATTATTCACACTATTCTATTAGCAAGATGATTGACAGCTAATCTCAATCTGTAAAAGTTTTTCTTCTTAATTATAAGGATCGAGAATGAAAGAAAGAGATAGTACCAAATTATATAATCATAAGTATCGAATTTTAAGGCAAGCTTTTTAGAAATAGAATTAATGATTTTTTTGCTTTTCAATTTTAGATCCATTCGTTGATCCACTTTTATCAATAATAATTAAATTAAATTAATGAATAAAATGTGGCTCAATATTTCTAAATAAATAAAGTATCATTATTTTGTATGACTTAAAATTATTCAAGGTAGATTAATATCATCAGGTGAAAAAATTAAATATAATTTTAAGGAATACAGATAAATATTATCTAATTTAAGAATTAATTTATTGCAGTTTTGATTATCTTTAGCATTTAGAGAATATAAATTATGAGTTGGAGATTTCCAATAAGTAATAGGAGATCCAGCATCTAATATTATCTCAACATTTTATTTGTAGTGATATTTAAAATCTCTGAGATTAAATATATTAATTAAGTATTTAAAACCTCTTTAAATCCAACTGGAACTTTATCTTTCGTACATTAATAATTTTGATCACTTATTGGGGAAAATCAATTTTCCAAAATTTGTTTAAAAACACTTCTGAAGGTTGAATATATTCAAAAATCACTTTTAATTATTTATTTAAAGCAAGCTAACCTATTTTGAGTCTATTTATTTATGGAAATCTTAAATCTTCCTCACTATTAGCCATAGTTTTTCCTTTTTGACTCCTTCACCAAATTCTTGCTTTGCTTTTTCTTTTTTAGTTCTATCCCATAAATCATTTATTCCATAAAAAAAGATATTTGAATAGCATAAATAATCCATATAGTATTTTGTCTTTAAAAAAACACTTTCTTTGTTCTACTGATCCATTAGACTCAAAACCCTTAATCATATTAATAATTTATGCATCTTCCCATTCTAACATAAAATGAATTTTTTTCAATTATGAGGACGATACCTTAAAAAGTATTTATGAAGAATTGATGTCTATCATTTCTCTAGATGTGGTACCTCTGGATATGTTGCACCAGAAATTGCTAATTTAGAAGATTCAGAATAAAAATATTCAGTTCTTTGTGATGAATTTAGTGGGAAATGAACTCTTTTTTGGAAATGATTATCATGTAAGAATGACAACTAATTAAACATATGGTATCGTCTTAAATGCACGAAAAATATATCAAACGCCACCAGAAGCTACTTAAAGTAAGCCCACAAGAAAGAATTTGAATGATGCTTATAGCATCCATATTTCTAACAATAATACTAAGCTTAAAAACCTCAATTCTCTTAATCTCATGTTTCATAAAAGATCCAAATTAAAATTACAATAATAAAAATAATTAATAATATTTGGATTCTGAAAAATTTGTAAATCTTCAGATTTTTAGTGAAAACTTTAAAAAATATTTATGTAGATAAGGGTTGTGTTTCTGAGGTGAAGAAAAAGCAATTTAGATATTAATGCAAATAATGTATTTTATTATTGGCAAAATTCTTCTTATTTTAATAATCATAATAGTCAACCTAATTTTAATTTTTTAATGAATTTAACTTTGAGAGGGATCATATAAATTAATATTAATATATTATTTTATAATTTAATATAAATTAATGTTTCAAAAAAAATTTTAAAAATTTAATGAGGTAATTTTTGGGAAATGAATCATCCAATATAAACAATAGAAATTTATAATTAATAATTGGTGATTAAAATATAAAATTTGTTTCCAAAGTTCTTATTGCTTCGAAGACTTAGAGTTTTAATGAATGTTTTTAATTGAGAGTTGCAAATTGTTTTGAATTGATTACATATAATCAAAAAAAAATATTTAATCAACTGATTCATTCCCCAAAATTACCTGGTTAAATTTTTTTTGAACCATAAATATTTATACATTCTCAAAAATTTTTTAGATTTGTTTCATCTTTTTCATCATTTTGATGGATCTAATCAGAATGAACTCAATTTTATCCTTAATTGATTTAAAAAAAAAAAAATTAGAAGAATTCATTTTTAAAAATATTACCACTCAATATGGGTTGTAAATCTAGTTATTAAAAAAAGTTTTAAAGCATTAACAGATTGAAAAAAATATTACCATCACAATTTACAACCTCGAATCAGAATTCAGTTTTGATATAATACAATTCTGCGACCAATAAAACATATTAAGTAATATATATGTGATTTATACAGCTGAATTGAGAAAAGTACTCTCAATTTTGAAGTTATAATTTAAAGGCAGAATAACTAAATATATATTTTAATATTGATAGATAAATGATAAATGCAATTTAATTTTTAATCAATTTTTCCATTTTAATATCAAGAGCTTATTTATTTTGGTAAATTAGTAAAGAAAGCTCATTTATGGAATTGGTTTTCTAATTTACAACCTCATTTATAAGTGAAGGATGAAGATAGATTCTTGTAATTTTTCTTAATGGAAAAGTTGAGTAAGAGAAATTCAGACTAACCTTTGTTTTTAAAAATGTAAATCTTTGTGGTGTTGATACAGAGGCTTTTAAAGTCGTCTATTTTTTAAATTGAAGTTATTATAAAAGGGGATCGAGGAAAAATTATTGATGTTAAAAATTATGATTTGAATTGGAAGACCAAATATATGCAAAATAGTATTAACTATTTCTGTCTTAATAGTTCATAACAATAATTCCTTATTTTCTCTAAAATTTCATGTTTTAAAAAAATAAAAATACGAATTGCATCTCAAATTTTGAAGTGGAAAAATAAAATGATTAATAATTTGAGTAAAGACCTTTAAAAAATATCTATATAGATTAGTCAATACTTTCTCTTGGAAGAGGAGGAATTTTAACCGTATTATATATTACATAGGACAATATCACAATTTTATTGAAAAAGTTTTTCTTATGCATATTTCATCATATCATTTTGCAAATTTTAGAGAGAAATGTATTGGATTAAAATGAAACATTTTGTGATATAAATAATTAAAAAATTTAATTTTAAGCATCTTCATCAACTAAAACTATTTACATTCTTAAGTTGTCCATAAGCAATAATAGTAATTGGAATTTCAGTATTGATGGATTAGTATTTTAATCAATTTATTTGTGAATAATAACATCAATAAAAGTATACACATAAGGAGGATGAGTTTGTTTAAATCCAGAAATTTGAGATTCTAAGCCAATGTTAAAGAAAATATCACTAATTTTAAAATTGGGACTTTGGGCAATAATTGGAAAAGTGAAAGATAGATGGAAAAGATGAAAAACGAGGATCTCAAAATATAGCTTAATGTTTAATAAGTATCTTATATATTTTTGGGAACAATGAAATTCAAATTCTTTAAAAAATCAATATACAACCAAGTGATTGGTTGTAATTTAGATTTTGTAAGATTTATAGCCTTTATCAATAGTTGGAATATTTCTATAAAATAATTACCATGCAATATTAGCATGAGGATATTGATGATAACAACTTACAATGAAGGATTATATTGTAGCTAATAAATTTTGGAACTTAAATGAATTCATAAAATAGATTGGTAAATTATCTAAATAAAATCAGAAGCAATAAAACTAAAGATCAATAAAGTCAAGATTTTCAGAAAAAATATTCAATATTTAGTCTTAATTTTTTGTAAGGTTTTACATTTTAATAAAAAGTAGATAAAAAGAAACAGGGCAATCTTCTTTTTTGCAATTTTTAGAATGACTGAAACTGACTGTTACTTTGTTAATAAGATATCATAATTATTTTATAGTAATGAAAAATTGGAAAAAAAAGTGTTTTATTTCATAAATGTTAATAAAGGACCTCTCTTAAATCTCCTCAATTTCGTAATTCTAAAATTATTGATTACTTAAACTAAAATTTTGTTAATAATTATTCTCCAAATATAATTAATTACTAGCGTCTAAATAATTTGAACTGAAATTATGGAGGAATATTAGGAGTGAAGTGGAAGAGAATGAACAATAATTAATATTTGTTTTAAATTTATTGGTTACAAAATCATTAATCTATCTGTAGAGGTTCCCAAGCCCATGTTCCAAAGAAATCTTAAACATCTGTGAGATACCATCTTCCTTTGAATCCTATACTTAAATCTTAAGACTAACCTTCCAATACTATAATTGATAATTTGCAGCAAGATCTTTAGACATATCTACATTTTTATGTTTATATTAAATAAATTTTCCATATGTTTTTATCTAGCTTAACATGACCATGAAAAGATATCCAATTTTTATTAATATTTATCTCTATGAAATGTTTATCTAATTTCTAGTTATAATTAAGTTTTATGTTGCGCTCGTGGGCTTTTAATTAGAGGTAGTGGTTCTTATTTTGGCTTAATGCCCAATCACTGTTTTAAAGAATTTCTAAACCAAATTGCAAATTTTCTGGGGTTGAATTGTTTTCCTAATTTAGATCCCTTAAAATTAGATTTCTCTTTTCTTTTTTCAATTGAAGGCAGAGGCAATAAAATATGAAAAAAATAACAAGTCCACTTATCGGAAAAACCAAACCAAAAACTATCCCAAAAGTAGTGGCGCAATCTTCATCACAATCTTTTTGATTGTTATCTATCGCCGATTACTCAGTTGTTTTGGCTATCAGAGCAAGCAAAAAAACAAAAATCATAAAATCGGAAATAATCTTAATACTAATCTTGATTAACTAAAAATCAAGCTTTCTATATTTTATTTTAAAATTGGAAAATTTAAATATGTATTGGTAATTCTAGCCTTGTTAATGCTATGAAAAAGATTTAAAAAAATAAATTTTTAAAGAAAAAAAGTAATAAATAAAAAAGAAAACAATGTAATTTGTTTTGAAAGTCTCTTTATTTAGTTTAGAGATGAAGTACTTTATATAGGTTTCGAATGGGTTGGGTTTATCACACTGTCTCCTCGTCACGACATTAGTAAGGGCGGGCCAGTATAAAAAGCTGAATTTTGAAGAGTTGCAACCACCATTTTTCTAATAGGTGACTTGGAATTTATAGACTATGGGTTTGGGGTTGGCTGTTTTACTTAGACTTACCTACTAGCTGTTTTACTTAGACTTACCTACTAAGCTGTTTTACTTAGACTTACCTACTAGCTGTTTTACTTAGACTTACCTACTAAGTAAGTGGGGTTAGGGTCGGTCTGAAAGTATGTAAAAATGAGGAATAATTCGGGTCGCTAAAAAGGATACCCCCCCTTGGTGAGGAGCGGGGTTGGCCCACTTGTAGGTTTAAGGGTTTGGGTTTGGGTTTGGTCAAAACTGTCATATTACTGCCGCCCTACATCACGACAGTAATATGGTCGGGGCCAAGGCAGAAAACTGATTTTTGAGGAGTTGCACTGCCCCGTCCCCCATGGGGAATAGGGGATAGGGGATTTTTATATCAATAAAAGTCTTTGTCTAAACAAAAGTCATAACTAATAAACAGATCTTTGACTAAGCAAAAATCATTACTAAAA